CCTTCCTTTCTTTCCTTTTCCCTTTCCCCTTCTTTTCATCCTTCTGTCCCTCTTCTTATTATTCCCCAATTCTTCTTCTTTTCTTATTCTTCTAATTCTTTGCTCCCCACCCCAACCCCCACTCTTTCCCAGAATGATATGTGGAAATGTAGAATATGTTTGTCAGACAAGTCCATCAGGAATTGTTAAGAGTAGGACAGAAGTAGGAGTCTGGTAGTTATAGTAAATTCTTGGACATTACCTCATTCATTTATGTTAGTTAAGTACAAAAATTAAGGTCCTTTCTAATTTATTGCTTAAATATGCATATGAGTAAATGTGTGTGTATATGTATACAAGGAAGTGTATATGTTTGTGGGTCTGTGTTTGCATAAACAATGATGGATATTTTTCCAAATGAACTGATAATGACCTCTAGTGGTTTAGAAGAAGGAACTTTATGTTCTACTTTTCCTCTGGAGAAATTAAAAGATTACTAAGGGTGGTGGTGGGAGGGTGCAGAGACATTCATGTGTGTGTGAATGTATGAGTGTTAGGTAATACTGGGCAGAAATTTTAGGGATTACTTTCCTTCATTAGTATTCCAAATAAAGCTGTTTATGTCATGGATAGTTACTGGGAATAAATATCTTTATGAAAGTTTTCTTAATTTCCAGAAAATCTTAGAAATGTTTATCAGCAAGGTCTTTAAATAGACTTTGTTTTATTAACAGTAATAGCTACTTTTGAGTATTTATCTGGCATTGTGTCCAACATTTACATTCTTTATGTCCTATCCTCATAACCTCAAAAGATGGACATTAACATCCTCAGGGAGACTGAGATTTAGGAAGGCTAAGCAACTTGCCTGAAGTTATAGAGCAAATAAATTGTACAGCTTTGACTTGAGCATATGTCTGACTATCTCTAGTCATAGAATACTTGCCATTGTAACAAAGGAATTCAGATATGCGGCTTATTTTATGATTTTTCTCCTTTGATGAGAGTTTGTCTCTATGTCTGCTTTTTTGGGGACTAGAATGACCAATGTAAAATAACTTGATAATAATTATTTTAAGTTTAAGAAAATCTTATAGTCAGTCTAAACTTACTCAGATACCATGTACTGAATAATATACCATGGTTCTTAGAAGAGGTTTTACAGTAGATGTAAGCAGTCTTCATATACTTAATCATAATGTTATCTGCTTTTAACAAGTGATGTGGCATCACTTTCTAGAATCTAGATTTCAGATAACTTCCAAATATACACCTACATATGCAGAAATATTTAGAGGTAATATTTCCTGACATATCTCTGTACCTCCTCATAAAAAGAATGAGGATAATATTTAGTGCAGGCTGCACAGGAAGAGTCTCCTTCCTCTTATTTGTCCTTGAAATGTGAGTCAAGGATTGGGAATTCATTAAGTAAATGTTTACCCAGACTATATAAATTTAATGATCAAAATCGCTTTTAAAAAATTTTAAGGAAGTTGGAAAATATTTTTATTTCCAACTGATAATCTGTTTTTATTTATTGAAAAGTCTCTTACTTGCTATGTGCTTCTTGGTTCTTAGACAACATAAGCTGATGTAGACCTTACAGCTACTCTAAGCTTCAGCCATTGTTCTCAAGTCAGGCTTTTTTATTTGCAAGAAACAACACTGCTTCGTGTTATCTCAAAAGTCATGAGTAATTTTAAGAGAAGTAAGTGGAGGGTTTGTACAAAAATGAACGAGGAAGCTCATGGAATTGCTGCACAATAAGGCCTTACAAGAACTTCAGTTAAAGCTAGTCAGATTGGGAAGCAGCTCAAGAAACCTCACTTGTTCCACTTCAGGGAAGGATGATATTTTTCTGGTGTTAATTTTTAAAATATTTGGTAGCATTTACCAGTGAAAGCAATTTGTCCTGGACTTTTCTTTGTTGGGCTAGCTGCAGGGGAGTGTGGTGGTAAACACTGTCACAATCACTGTGACAGCTTCTGCTATGCGGCTGCTCTATTGGAAGCCCCTGCTTTTCTTCCTTATTCTTAGATAAGAGTCCTTATTATTCTTAGACCCTAGACTCCTTTTTCTTCATTCCATTTATTTTAATGTCTCAGCTTTGCCAGGCTGGGTAAGGTGAAACCAAAGCAAGATACTCCTCTAGGGTCCCAAAAGGCTGGGTAAGTGGGTCGCTTACCCCGCTAATCCTTTCCTCGCAAAGGGAACTCTTTCTAGCTATGAAGTTCATTCTTGGCACTGAGAAATCCCAGCTGTGGAGTGCGATGATACAGGCAAAAGGAACTTGTCTTAATTGTCTTTTTATGCAGTTATTCTCAGGTTTTTTATTCCACAGTTTTGCTAAAGTTTCTTAAGTGGACTCCAGAGCTTTTGAAGAGCTGATTTTGTTTGCAGATAGCTGTCTAATTGTTGATCTTTGTGAAGGGAAGGAGATGGTGTCTTCTGTGTCACCATTTTGGTCTCACCTATTGGTGTTTGGCTGATTTTTAAACCTTCTGCTCCAATTAGGCTAGAGATACCTTCCTCTACATTTGAGACTCATTTCCTTTCTCTTTGGGATAACATTGCCTAAGGCTAATTCAACTAACCTGTTTTCTGAAAGTTCCCTAGTAGCCCCCTTTGTCCATGCTTAAATGATTTTGGAAGTCTGGAAAGCAGACTTTTAATACATGTGCCCATTTTCGTTTTTATGTGAGTAAAATGAAATCATTATGAACTCTTCACTCTGCTAAGTTCTCTCAACTACTCTGTTGCTATTCAACTGAAGACATCTGAAAGTGAGTATCAGCCTGGTTTGTGGGCAACCAATCTACATACAAACATTAAAGAGGCTCAAAATTAGATCTGTAACTATAGATGCAGCTCTGTCAAGTCACCAGCTGGATACATCCTGGCAAAGTAGAATCTGACCTCCTTTGTTTTGCCACAACTGCTCATTATTCTTTAATATATTTTAACTTTAAAAAATTAAGCTGCCTTCAGTACCTGAAAGCATCCCATGCTATCAGGATTAGTGTTGAAATATTACAGCCCACACAGTGGACAGAAGATAGTCCTCTTGGTACCTATCTGGAGAGTCTCCAGAGAGGATGCTGACCACATGGCCACTATTGCCCTTACTCCACCCACCTCTGAACACCATGAAGTCTGTTAGTGATGAGGTTTTCAAATACTGCCCTGCATGCTAATACAAACTGTCTGAATATAAATTTATCTAGTGAGATTTCCTAAGATATGACCCATGCCCAAGGAATTGGGTAGGCTTAGAAATTTTGTTTAGGTCCCTCCAGTAATTTTCTTGAATAGCTAGCTTCTGGAACCATGGCTCAGAACATCAAAGAAAAATATAACTCCTTGTGCCTATCTTATGAACTTTACACTATTATTTATAGCTGTGCTATCGAATATGGTAGATGATAGCCACTATTTACACACAGCTATTGAGCACTTGTTGTGTGTGTGGTTACTTGAGATTTCAAAGACATGTTGCAGTAACAATATTTTGGACATGTTGGGTTAAATAAAAATTTTATAAAATCTATTTAACTTGTTTTTACATAATTTAACATAGTTACTAGACCTTTAAAATTACATGTGGAGCTTGCATTATATTTCTATTGGACAGTCCTGATCTAGAAGGCATCTGTCCCACAGCTTAGGAATTTTGAGTCTTAAAATTCTCAAGTCCAAGGAATCTTGTTGATGATACAACTCTTTCATTTCATAAATGAGGATGCTGGTACTCAGATGGATGGATGAAGTGACTTATTCAGGTCACCTAAGTTGGTGAGAGGACCAGGATGTCCAAATCCCACATATCTGATCCCCATCATCCGGTGCTAACTGCCCCCTCCTGTGCTGCCCATGTTTGGCTGGAGTAGCCACACTGAGTGTTTCAGGTTTCCTGCAATTCTGGAGCATAGAAAGGCTTACCACATGATGCCCGTCCTACAGTCTCACCAGATCCCATCTGCATACGTCATGCATCCAAAATTCATTGCTGAAGAGCAGTATTTGGGCCTTAAATTGATGTCTCCCTTTTTCACAATCTCACATTAATTCCTAGTTTTGACTCCACATGGAGCTGTGCTTTTAGCAAGGTCTTGGTATCTTTCTAAAGCATGGATCAAAAAACAAAACAAAACCAACAGCAACAAAAAAACCCTCTAGCTAATGGAGAACTGAGAACCACTGAAATTCATTAATGATGTTTTGTCCCCCAGTGTTTACTACATCCTATTTTCTTAGGTGCTCACAAGACAATGTTCTCTCTTCTCCCTCCTCTAGTATTAGTTCGCTCTTTGGAAGGAACAAATACTGATGGATGGTGAGCAATTCCTTGGCTCCTGCCCTTTAACCATAAAAACAAGTTATTTTTTACACAGCATCAGCAGACCTTGCTTATGTAAAACTTTTTGAAGCTGAAAAATATTTTTCCTTCTTTCTCACCCTTTAACAAAATTTAAAAATTTTAAATTAAATTAAAATTGTGTCATTGGTAGCATCTAAAATGTTTCTAGAATCTCTCCCCACCAAACAGGAGTATTTGCTGTTCAGAATGATGCATTCCAGGGACCTACTTTCTTGGATGATTCTAAGCCTGTTGAGATCCATGTACATACATGTCCCTAGGTGTATGAATATCCATTTGCTTGTGTGTGTCAAAGTCAGTGAAGGTGCAGAGAAATGCCTGGCTAATGTCTTGCATTTTGATATATACTTCCTGGGTTCTTTAGGTTTAAACTGAGCTATCAAAAAGAATTTATAGAGAGTAATTAACCCAAGGCACTGATTAAGTAACATGATTTAGTAAAATAAGATTATGTGAATAAATTGGGTTTTAGGATTTCTTAGGACTAGGTCACTGAAATGCTTTATAATTTCAGTCCCTACTGTCTAGTTGAATTCCCAGCATTGGCAGAAAGCAAGCAAGTTGTCCTTGCCTGGCTGCAAAGCCCTGTATCCAGTACAGCAGAATCTCTAATTGTGGTCCCCCTTCCCTCATTACTTACCAGGGTCCTTCACTGCCGCTGATTCCTTCTGAACATAGAGAGAGTTACTGTGAAAATAAATAATCATAGATGACAGGTTTAGAGATTATGGTATCAACACCACCGGCAGCAGAAGACTACAACCTATGCCGGTATGCACACACCATGCAATTATTTATAAATTGAGGAGGTGGGAAGAGTTTTTAAAGTTCTCTAGATTTGTTGAGGGGAAGAGCTATTCTTTAGGTATTAAAAACCAAGGAGGTAAAGTACTGGGGGAATTTGGTGTTTTGGGTCTGGGATGTGGAGTCTTTGGATATATCCTTCCCAGTGGCAGGATCTAATGAATCATCACCACCCAGCTGGGCCTTCTCATTGATAAGCTGACGATTTCTAGTCTGTGGGGAAGCCCTGGTGCCTTACAATTTTAGTGATTGTGAAATTTCTTGGTGTGCCTCAAGAACACATAATCTTCCTGTTAGAAGATCTATGCCACCCTTGGGAAAATCTTAAAGGTAGTGCATTGCTTTAAAAACCTTATCTATTTACTTCTGTTTCCTTCTCCTGTCAGTATGAGCAGGCTTCTAATGCCATGAGGTGTTGGTTTTTAAGCACAGTTGTCTCTACTTCTCATTCAGTTAAAGCGTTAAGGTATCTTCTTATGTGTTTAACAGGAAGATTTACATGGGTTAGAAAGAGTTCAGAATCCACTGTTTCAGTATCATATTGCTTAGAGGTCTATACCCAACATCTCTCTACACATACACAATAACCCCAGTGCAACGTATTTAAGCTGCAAGTTGCAATCCTTTAGTGGGTCTTGAAATCTATTTAGTTGATCAAAAACTGTCTTTTCTAAAGAAATAGATTAAAAAGATATAAACATTGATTTCTGAAACTTTTATACATATCTACTTCTCTTTGTCCATCATTTATCTATCACTCTACCTATCATCATCTATCCATATTAGTTTTAGTTAAAAACAAAAGGGTTTGAAGAAAATCTGTCTTGAGGGAACTGTCAGAAACAGATTATTAGACTTTGTTACAATTCTTGTGATTTCTCAAGAAACTAAATAAGGCACACTTCCTTTAAGTTTGTATATATGATGATGTCCTTCTTTCACAACTTCCTCCCACAGTTCTCATATTATTTTGCTTGTTTCTTTCTTTCCTTTTAAAATTGTGCGTAGGATATTTAGAAAAGGCATACTGCAGAGTCTTAAAGACATCTAGGTAAATTATCAGAGGCCTTTGCCTGGGTGGGTTGAGGCTCTCTGGGCCAGACCAGGCTCACGTTCCCCATCCCTGGAGCCATCCAGCAGAAGAGGCAGGTGGGACACTGGCTCCTCAGAGGTCTTGCCTTGGTGGCACTACCTGTCAATGGGGCATTAAATAAAAGAGGTTGTAGAAGAATTTAGGCACTTGTTCAAACACTGTCTTTCATACTTTAAGTGTGTGCTTGGAGACCAGTAGCCAATGAGACTTGCTTACACTTCTGAGCAGTAGGAAACACAAAAACAGTAAAAGAAATTTAAAGTGAAAAGTTTATAATGCTATCTAAAGCAGAGCATGATTTCTGAAGAAGGTGTCATAAGAAACAGTGTTTCCCTATACAGTTCTGGCACTTCATTTGCCCACTCAGGACGTAGAATCTGGCAATTCTTTAACTGTTGATCCAGAATAATTGAGTTGTCACTTGTCATCTCAATGCTGAAGCAACAAGTCACCTACAAAAATAGAGGCCAAAGTAATTGATATTTTCCGATTTATCCTTCATCAGAACTATTCTGCTCAATGGAGAAAGGAAGATATAGACACACTCGGCTGCCAGTTCCTGGTAAAGCAGCAAATAAGACTTTCTTATATATTTCTCAACAAAGAAAATACACAAGATTCTAACTGACAATGATGATTTCAATAAAAATTTTTTAAAATGTTATGTTTAGAATGGTATTTTAGCAACTTCCTCACTGAAAGTGAACAGTATATTTTACCCAGCTTCTTAGTAACCAAATGCAATTTAACAATAACCATTATTATCATAATTTTATGGATTTCAGCAGTCATTGTTAATCATCATAATCAAATTTAAATATCTTTTTTCCTATTTATAATTTTAGGTCAGCTACCATAGTTCCATGTCTTTTTTCCTATATTTATATATAGCAATACTGTTTTAACATAAGTTAAGTTCAGAAGCTTTTTTGGCTCTCAGAAAATGATATCTGACAGACCAGGGACATACAAAAGTTAGTATTATTCTTTCAAACTTAGAATAGAAACTCTGTAATATAGCTCTTTCATTTCAATATAGTATATATAACTGGCAATGTGGTTAAATGGAAACAACTGGGAGTTTTGAAATATTACTACAGATCAGAATTCTACAATACTTCCTTTTCTCTTCAAGCATATGTTAATCTCAGCACATCTGTTGTTTTAAGTGTTATGTAGTTCGTTTTTCTCTCACAGAATGATACCAACTGATTCGTGAGGCAAGTTTTCTTAGGTTAAATTGCTAGGCCATGGTCGTTCTTAATGGCATCCAATAAAAGCAAAATTCATATGGCAGCATTATTTTCAAACAACTCTCCACCAAATTATGTTGTAAATAAAGTTGCTTACAGAGAAGGAATATTGCTACTATGTATGTTATTGCTGAATTTTCCAAATTTATAGGAGAAAAAAAGAGTCAGTTTCTTCTGGGGTCACACTGATAGTATGTGAAAGACTCAGTCCTAGAGCCCAGAATTCTCAGTTTCCAGTATTAACTGATTCATTTCTCACCAAACAATTAAAATTTGTTTAATTCAGGCACATTTTAGTGACTTTTCCATTATAGCATAAGCCAACAATGTTGTATGCTTTGTTCTCTGTCTGCTTCATAACAACTGCTATTTGTTACAACATGTTGAATGACTGACTGATCAGAAAGCAAGATTTTATATATATACACATATGTACCTACTAATGTGTATATGTGCATATATGTGGCTGATCTTCACATCATAATATTAATCTGCCTACCAAATCAGAAACACAGTTATCTAGCATTATCCTTCTTGTATAATAGCAAGAAACTTGGAAAATCAATTCATGCAAAAGAAGGATGAAAATTTGTTAAAACTTTTGGATGCTTTAAAAATCCTAGGTATAATGAGGATACATGAATCAAGATAGGTAGAAGTTTACTGAAGATATCACCTCAAAAGCAAAAGCTTGGTTAGGTAGGAATTGTAAGTATTGTAGTTTTGAGCTTACTTTGCCCACATCAGTGGAAAATTATTTATAATTTATAACATATACCATCAAGTTTAGTAATGCTAAACAAAAGGGCCATCCCTTTTACATTTGAGTAGGCATTTGATTCCTCCAAAAATAAAGTTTGTTCCTCCTTATGTATTGACATTTTGTTAATGGAAAGAATGCATCTTTACATTTTTAAATAAATTGCCACAATTCATGTAAAATATGATAACCTAAAGGGTAAATTAGTTATATTTTTGGCCAATGATGCAGTATGGAGAAGTGGAAAAAAAGAGTTTGCCTAGAAACTAGGAGACTTGACTTCTCTTTCCATCTCTATCAGTAATTAGCATCAGGAACTGATAACAATCACCACCTTTGTTAACCTCCGTTTCAGATGAAAGGGTTGGAATATAATTATTCCAAGTTTCCTTTTCTCTTTCTTGCATAGATGATAAGTGCTCTTAAGGAATGCATTTGTCTGTTAGCTGGAGTTTGAATTTAAAATTTTGTTATTGCAGCATTTTTTAAAAGCACCAGTGTTTTACATTTGGCCATGAAGAGTAAAAATGGCCATCTAAATATAGCACTCTTAAAAAATCATTAAAATTAAAAGAAGAAGAAACAGTTTGTATTCTTTGGAGTTAAGTTAGAAAAGGATATAGAAAATGTCATTGGATTACTTAGGTTTAACATACTTAGGTTTAACATCAGCTACCTGTCAATTAGTCCTCATCTGAAAAATACTAACAAATGCAAAACAGCCAAGATTTTCTTGGCTTGATATAATTAGCCTCATCAGCAGAAGAAAAAGTCTAAATAACCTGGCTGTTAAATATGTGGGTTTTCTTGGAATTTATTATTTTTAATACTTGGGCAGCAGAAATGTGAAGGGAAGCATTGACTATAATCTGAATGCAACTTCACTAGTTCAACCAATACTGAAATCAAGTATTAAGTCCCCAGACTTAGTATGTCCAACAAATATACTTAGAAATAAGTGTATTTGTGAACTGGTATAAAGGAAAACCAATCTTTGCAATGTTTTATGTAATTGTTAAAGCAGTATAAACGTGGTAAATAAATGGTCATCTAAATATAATGCTTAATTTGGTTCAAGTGTCCATTTAGTACCACTCTTATAGAAAGGTAGTCCCCAAACCTTCTGTGTATTGGAATCACAGGGCTTCAAACACACCAGTCCCCATACTTTGATTGGTACAGGCTACAACCTGGGTATCAGAAGTTCTAAAAGCTCCCTAGATTGTTCTAATGTGCAGCAAAACTGGTAAAAGCTGAGTAGTTTAGTGGGAAGAGCCTGGATTTGATATCAGAACACTGAATCATACATGGTCTGCACCATTTATATCTTCGGAAATTCACTTCACCTTTCTGAGCCTTTGCTTCCTCATCAATCAAATGAACACAGTAATACTAATGTCAGTTCAGTGCCTGTAAGGATAAAATTAGATGCCTGGGGAGGAGCCTGGCATACTTTATGATTTGTTAGGAGATTGTGAGGCCAGGAAATATGTACAGGAAGAAGAATTATATACAAAAGACTCAAATTGTGACTGGGGGTGGAGGGGGTGGCAACTCCATTATGATTAAGAATGTAGGTACATGTATCCTTTTGCTTTAATGATGAAAATGAGGTTTTCAGGGCTTCTTAAGCCCTCTGAAGATGAAGCTGTAGCAGTGGTAATGGTGAGGACAGGTCAGCACTGGCAGTCAGGAGACAGTGAGCCCAGTAAGGGAGGCTGGAGAAGCAAGCCCACAGTGGATGTGTCAGCCTGTGTGGTTCAGGGCTGAATGCTCAGAAATGGAAGGGGAAGCTGAGGAGATTACCACTGAGTAAATGCAGGTATCGGCTTGAGCCAATCAAAATGATCATACTTCTTCAGTGACTCAAGGATGACTCTTTTAGGTGTAGTTGTAGATAGACTAATTCAGCCTGAGGGAGAAAAAGAAAAAAAGCACTTCTAGAATTGAAGAAATTATACAGCCCTGGACTAGCTGGCTGGTTAGAAAACCTAGAGGGCAAATTTGGGTTTAATTTAATGAATTAAACTAAGTGAGAACAGAAACCATGTATTTATAACAGCCCTGTAAAACTGGGCTCCATCAGGATAGAGCCAAGAGTAAACTAAGAACAACAAAAGCAATACACTGTTTTGTTCCGAGAAGAGCAAATGGATGACAAGCCAGAGCGAATTCTCTTTTCTCCTTTCCTTATCATGAAAAAAAAAGAAAAAAACCTTTTACTGACAGTAAAATGAACTCTACAAGAGATGATTGAAAACTGAAATAGATGAAGAACTTGTAAGAACATACCTAGCTCTGTAAAACTTAACTTTTCTTGCATAAAAATTATACCTCAGCAAGGAGAGTTTATACATAAGGACTTTCATTTTAAAGTAGCACAGAGGGAAATGGACACTAAAAGACAAATTGGGGTCTTTTCATGGGCAAATGGAGTTCCAGTTTTCAAAAAAGAAACAGCTTCATTCGTTGACAAGGGCCTTTTCACAGATCCTGAACAAAACTAATAAGCCTATTATTAAAGTAGTATCTGGGTACTTAGGAAAGGAAGACATTCAAAAGTTATAGGAATTCACTAAGTAGTCAATTCCTTTTTTTGACAATGTTGCTTTACCAGTAGAGTGAGGACATCTAACAGACAAAGCACATCTGTTTAGGGCTGTATCTAGGAGGAATGGATGCCTTTTTCCTACTCCCTAGGTAACTGTGGTACCTTTTTCTAATTTCTACTAAGATGCCATGCATCCATGCACATTAGCTGCTCTGGGACAAAGAAAGAAAATAAGACTTTAAGTAACATGTTGGCCCTCAATTGATGAGAATGTTCATCAATAGTGTGCTAATTCAATGTCACTTGGCAGTGGAAGGTGCCAGAAAATGAGAAATTGAATGATGACATGGCATGCAGACTGAGTTTGTAGAAGATATGAAACTGGGAGGTAGAATTGCTCAATTAAATGATTGATACCCAGCATGTCAACAAGCTAAAAAGAAGAGGCCTAACTCAGCACAATAAAATTTAATAGAATCGCAAGTTTAGTGCTTACACTAACTTAATGAGTGTAGGCTGAGAAGGTGTGTTTGGAGCAGTTGTAAAAAAGACTTTACTACCTCAGAGTTTAGTAGATGGGAGTCATTAGAGTAATATTACTGCCATAATAGCTCCTAGGACTTATTTGGAGGAAATGCACTAATTAGGACAAAACCATTAAGCGTATTTTTACTCTGTGTTATTTGGATGAAACCTTGAATTCAGTTATTGGGATTATATTTTGAGAGGGGTGATGGCAAAGTAACCCACCTTCCAAGGGCTTTCAGAAAGGAAGAGGAAAAGCTGATGGAGTTGATAAGTACCCAGGCAAACTGAAGGACTCTTCTGTGGAATAAAAGCAAGATGCATCCTGGAAGACTTCAGAGACCATAATTGCAGAATTTTGAGGCCTACCTTCTGGGGGTCCCTTTGCAAGAGGTAGATCCACAGATTTCCATGTCAGTGGAAGGTAAAACTGGTAGTGAAAGGGAGCAAATGACAATGGATACTGTCTCCTTTGAAGAGTTCTCAATTCTGGTTATACATTATGATCATTTGGGAAGAATTTTTTAAATGCTGATGTTTAGACTCTGATCCTAGAGATTGTGATTCATTGATTTGGTGTGGGGTCCCAATTAAAAAGTATCTTATTCAAGCTCCCCTGCTGATTCAATGTTTTTAGGTTGGAGAATCACAGAGCTAGATGACTACAGGTTCAGAGATTAAATAAGTCAAATCAGATGTTTTCAAGTAGTATGCTTTCCATATACTACAGGTAGGCGCTTTCACAAGTAATTCTAATTGAATTAATGCATGTAAATCCATTAGAGTAGTGTCTAGCACCCTCAAATATTAGCTATTTTTATTCTATCCCCTCTATAACTGTTGGGTGGAGGTACTGGCTCTACATCACAGGTGAGGACACTGAGCCTCTGAAGTTACGTTTTCTAAGGCCCTTCATTCTAATTACAAAATAAGGATTCAAACCAGATTAAAGCTAGTTCTAAATTCTAGAGCCTCTTCTCTTTCCACAAGCCATCTAAAATGGCTGAAAGTCTATGTAAGTCAGTGGTTTACTTGAGTAACATTAAAACAATTCAATAAAACCACTTCCTTTTGACCTGCTTATGAGCAATCTTTCTTCATATGCAACTTCTGAAAAACAGAAGCATAAAAGTATAAGACATCCACAATTTTTTCCTAATGTGGCCTGATGGAAACTCCTCTGCAGGTCTTAAGGACCTCTGAGGACAGGGAAAATGGACGAAGGTAGCCCTTTAGAACTTAAAAGCACATTGAATCAAAGGAGAAAATCACTGCTTCCAGGTAAAACATCTCCAATTCTAAAGACTAGGTAAACACTTGTTGCTTCTGTCCCATCTACTTCTGCTAAGTTAATGACGTACTAACACTGAGGGAGGCCAAGTTAGCCTTAGGTGATGGCCAGGGTTACACCTGACATTTCCCTGGAGCCAGACTGGACCAGGCTGTGTGCAGTTGCTGCTTTAAAAAGGGAGGAAACTTCTCCACGGGGGCTGAGATAACTAAGGTACAAATTCTCCTGAAAATCTCAAGTGAAAGAGAGCTCCCAGGTCAGCCTGCAGGCCTGGGAGAAAACGTAAATGAAATATTCTCTGGTAAGCAGCCTACATCAAATATGCTGTTCCTGACTTTTGATGATTAAAATCCACTCAGTTTGCAGGGTTCAGTGCTTTTGGATTTAGATTATTTCGTTAGTACAGTTAAGGCATGAGCTGCTTCTAAATAAGTTATTTCTTCCCTTCTCTCTGAAAAGAGCAAAACCGAATGCAGGAGAATCCGAGGAGTAACTATTTTGGAGAAGGCGAGGGGAGGGCAACAGCCCCGGTGGTAAGGTTCTCAACGTTTTCCAGGATTTTCTTCTCTGGGCTGTCCAGAAGCATCAGCCTCTCCCTCTGAGCCTCCAAAAGTATCTTTCAGTTGGGGGCGATTCCAGAGTCGAGCCCGAAGCATATGGGTCACTATAAACTAGAGCAAGTTAAAGCCAAAGAGGCCCTGCGGGGCAGGGGTGCGTGGAGTCGGGGCCCGAGTGGAGGAAAGGCCGCCCGCCGCGCGGAGCTGTGAGTCCCGGAGAGGAGGCGGGGCGGGGCGGGCCGGAGGTCGGGGTCCGGGGTGGGGAAGGGTCCCCGTCCCAGGGTCCCCGTTCCCCCTCCCAGTCCTCGCCTCCCGGGGCTCCGGTGACGTTGCGGTCTCCTCCTACCTCCCTCCTTCCCTCCAGCCGAGCTCAGCGCCCGCCGCGTCCCGCGCTCCTCCCCCGGCGTCCACACCCCGCCCGGTTTGCAGAGCGCCGCCCGGGGCTGTAGCGGCGGGTCCCTAGCCGCGGCGCCCTCCGACACCCCAGGGGCAGCGGGGGCCGTGAGGCTCGGCTCCGAGGGCGCCGGGGGCCCAGGCACCCTGGCGTGAGGGGCTCTGGAGCCTGGGCCCAGGCTGGGGAGGCGACGCCCGGGAGGACGAAGCGGCGGCAGGGAGAGGTAAGCGGAGGGGCGCGGGGCGGGCGCCGCCCTGGGCCCCGCGCCTCGCAACTTTCTTCCGGAGCCTCGGGCGGGTCGGAGCCACGTCCCCGGCCAGGCGCTCGGCGTAGGGAGCTGCGCGCCAGGGCCCAGTTCAGCTGGGCTCCCGGAGGGCGCCCAAGGCGTGAAGCTGGGTTGTGGGTTTTCCCGGTGGAGGGGCAGCCTAGGGGCCGGCTTTCAGTCCCTTTGCACCCCTTGGGCGCCCTGCACCGCGCCGGGCGCACGGTAAGAACCTGGAGATCATTTTCGGTGTGTCAGATCTGACCGCCACAGGCACTATTTCCCGGGACACTGGCTCCCTTCTACCTGGTTGGGTGCACAGCCCCGAGTCCTCCTGCCGCTGCCTCCCTTGCTTATTGGGGTGGTGGCAATCGCGCGTGCTGATCCTGGCTCTGGCAGCCCGCCTGTGCGGCTGCGGAAGCCCGGGAAGCACGTCGCGAGCCTCCCCCTGGATTCCAGCGCTGCTCGGCTCCGCTGTCAGTCGGCGGAATTGTTGGTAAACCTCCCTGCGAGGCAAACCTCAGGGGAGGGGGGCCTGACTCACAGTCTGGGGAGCTCTGTAAACAGTGCTACGGGGAGCTCAAGATACATCTTAGCTGGAATCTGAGCTAGGTTTGTGACCTGAGAACTCATTTTCATCGCTCTTGTGAGGCAGCAGCCTCCGCTTAGGCCAGCTGGCATTGAAGGTTGAAACCGAATCCGTTGCTTAAAAGCGAGAGGTGAACCTCATTTACCTGAAATTCCTTAGGTGAGGAAATGTCACTTAATTCTAGGGATCTTGGTGTAGTGAAGTTATTTAAAGTTATTTTCATTAGCCACGGTTTAGTTAATGTTACATTAAATTTGAGAATAGACATTCTGAGAAATAGTTTCAAAATAGTTTTTTTTAGTATTCTATTTTTCACATCTTAGAATTTAAAATTTCAGGAATTCCTTTTACTTCATTTTCGTTTTAAATTTCTCAACAAATGATAACCTCAGAAATATGATGTGCAATATTTTGCAGAATATTCAGACAGTACTGCAAAAATGGAATCACATAAAGTCCATGGAAGAAATCAAATACAGGAATATATCTAAGTATTGTCCATCATGTGTCACTTTTTTCTTTTAAGGTCACCAGACAGACATTAGGCCTTTTTATGAAGTGTGTAGTTACAATGTGTTCTAATAAAAATGGAGATAAGATGGAATTTAATGCCTCCGTCATCTAGTGACCCTTCTCTGTGGGTTCAGCAAAAAGTACATGACAGCTCTGGTTACTTAGGAGACATTCAGAAATATAGAAGAAATTGCCCTACCTCTTTTGTAACTGCTAATGTAGAAAGGGGAAAAACATAAAAAAGCAGCATATGAGAGTTTGAGTTTGGGAGGGATCATTTTTTCACTGAGGGGTATATCATGTCAGTATCAGTTTCCTCAAGTTTTAGTTAATTAGTTAAAAAACAGTGGCCTCAAAGTACTTTTTTATATCCAGGTTAAAAAATATTCATAGCACAGGCACCAAGTAAAAGGGAAATCTCAAAAAAAGAAAAGAAAAAGAAAAATCAACTTGGACAAAGAGGGAATTTCCAACAGAACACAGTATAGGATTTTGCCACCTTGGGAATGTTAGGACCTTCCTGGTCCTACTGGATAGAAGCTGCCTAAGTTCCTCCCTCTGTGGTTAGGGGCCTAGAGTAGGAAGACGCAGGGTAAGAAGTCAACTAGGTTAGCCACGTGAGGTCAGGACCACCTAGTGACTAACAATCTGTGCATCTGTTTTAGTATTTATAAAATTAGTCCACAAATTAGCTGATATAGGTTTGCAATAAGATTTGCTGTCTATCCAGTTTAGAATCTTGCAATGCTGCCTTGTGTGGACCCTCTGGTGATCCATGAGGTCAAGTTCATAACTTCACAGATGTTGTTCTGCCTTTCCCAGTGTGTTATTATAAAGATTTTCTAATCTCTGAATTTTTTAATTTTTAATTTATTAGAACAGTGTTTTAAGATCATAAGTGGAAATGCATTCTGCAATTAAACAATAAAATACACATTTCTTAAAGTTACTTGTTGTAGATTATTTTGGTATTCTACTGCCTTGAATCACATTATATTACATGAAAGAAATTACATGATTCACATTCAGTATATGATTTCAGCAAGTGATTGGAGAGGAATAAAGGAAGATAAAATCTTAAATTGGGTTTTAATATATCAGAAATCTTTGTTTTCAAAAGGAATAAAGAAATTTGTAAAAGCCAGCATTTTGTAGTTGCAGCATATATGAAATACTACTTAACTGTTAGCATGTTTGAGTTGTAAATATAGTAATAGTGTTAGTGTTTTCAACCCACTTCCTCCCCCTACCACCCACCCCTGCCCAGTAAAAAGAGAAATACTGTAATTGTCCTGGAATATAGATGGCAGGCCTTTGAGGGGATAAAGAACCTGGGGTAGAGGGAACTTCATCATCATGGTAGATGTCATTTTATTTCTTGACTGAGGCTGAATCTTTATTATTCTGGAGTGGATAAGGCACCTGATGAGATTCAATGACCAGCAACCTTCTGAAACAATGTGTCCAAGGAGAGGGCAGAACAGTTCTTACTACTAAGCCTTAGGGTTTTCTCATCTTGGAATTACATTGTCTTCCCCATAGTGATTTGTAGAATAAAAGTCCTTGGGGGGTCACCAAATTACCAACAAGTGTTTGCATGACATAAATGTTCTCAAAACCCAGAGTCAGTGCCTAGTGTGGGAATAAGGCAAATAAAAAAGCCTACAGTACCAAAAGGAGAAATGATTTGCCCTTGAAATTCTTATATAAATTAGTGTCAGAATGGGAAGTAGAGATTAAAATTCTAGATTCCTGAAGCACTAATCCATGCTTCCATTTGGGGATATCAGTAATTAGAAATGGATGAATTTCAAAAATTATGACAACTGTAATGTCCAATTCTAATAAGAAATTCCCTTTTATAAATTCAACTTTGCATTAGGTAGTGATGTAATTGTTCTTTAAAAGGAAAATTTTCCATATACATTTGTGAATAAATATATCTCCAAATTCTGACCCATCAAAACTTACTGCTTCACACCTTCTATTTATGTAAATTGGTTATCTGTCGGTGGAGAAGTATTGCAGAAAAGAGAAGTAGAAAGTATTGTGGATGGGATAAATAGGGACCATTAGGGTTAATAAACTCTTGCTTACAAATTCATACATGTTTAAACAGTTGAAAGAAAGGAAAAATCCCTGGTAGATCAGATGGCTACATGAATACTTACATTTTAAAATTGCCTAGTACTTTTTAATTTTTTTCAGCTAATTCTACTATTTCCATATTTTAGCCTAGTAGAAATGGAAAGTGATGTAGAGGAGGTGTCTTCCTCATTTTAGGGGTGTGGAAAAGAAAATACTGTGAAGGTAAGAGATTTGTCTTATCATTTTACAAATAATTAGTGGCCTATCTTAAATACGAGATGAACCTAAACTGCACACTTAATTCTAGTTTTCTCATTTATGACTCCAAATTCATGTATTAAAGACTTAGATTTCATTTTCTGTAGATCTAGTTGATTATTCCTTTGATTACTCATTACTGCCCATGGTCTGTCAGCTTCCTAGAATGCCTGTGTGCTGCAGCGGCTTCTGTAAACTGGCAGTTTACAGACCCCTGTTCCCACAGTGCCCTTCTCTTCCCCTGGGCTCTGTCTCTTCTCATGCCTTCTAAGGATTTCACTGTGTGGCCTGTTCTAATGCCTGCAAAGCCCTGGGCTGGTTGCTCAGTTCTCATTCACTGGCTTCAGGTCTTTGGTAGCTTTGCCAATTGTGTTGCTTGCTTCTGCCTATCTAGGCAAGCTCCAGCGTGTTGAAGGTGTGCATTCCAGATCCTTGCATTCCAGATCCTCGTTCAGATGCCTAGAAGAATATAAACCTGCAGGAGGCAGAGTGTTTAGAGAGCCTGGTGGAGATTACAAAGAAGAAAAGGGAATGCTTTTAATTTGGCAAGAGAAGAAAAGATCGTTGAGGCCTTCTGTTTATTTCTTGAATGGAGTAGTTTGTTTAGTTCTTAATTCAGAGTTAACACTATGAATTTTAATGTGCATTAAGATTCCCACTGGATTTCCTTCTGTTTGTTTCAACTTCATTCAGATATTCTATAAACATGATCTTGCTAAGTATTGTCATCAAATGTTAGTAAACAACTCCTGAAAGAACAGAATTTGTCTCCTCAGTGATATGTAGAAACTATAAACATACTATGATAAGCACACTTTGTTTTGGTATTTTGTATTTGGGAATAGTTATAAAGTTAGCTCTGTTTTTAACAATAAAACAGAAGAGATATGTACAGTTAACCTATCTATTGTAGGTGTCTATATCTGCTTTGTCCTAAACACGGCCAGAGAGAGCTTGCAATTGAGTGTATGTGTCTAAATGCCAAAATAACTTTTTTTGGTATTACTTATGGAATTAATAGTGCCTCTCTTATCTCCAATTAATGTGAAAAATAGCAGGATAATCATAGTGATATTCCCTCTATATGTTTAAATTAGTGTACTTTCCCTTTTAGTAGAAATTGAATAGGTCCACAATCAGTTAAAAAGTTGTCATTTAAGTCTTCCCATTTAAAATACTTATTGCATACACAGATGCCATAGAGCTATAAAGTTGTATTTGTTGATTAAATCAAGGCTTTTGCATTCTTCTTATGTATAACAAACAACTACTAAGCAATAGGCATTTAATGCATGCAGATGTTATACCACAATAAAGATGAATCAGCACTTGGTAAATCTGAAAAGGAATTTGTAACGGGCATGGGCTCACCAAACTTGTGGGTCTATGATATTTTTATTGATAAAGTATGCAGGCAATATACTGGCTTTTCTGTTGGGTTCTACTGGTTACTGCAAGAAAAATGGTGGTATTTGTCAGCAGTTCCTGAAATAGGAGGTAACATTAGGTTGATTACATACGTTTTAGTGTAAAATGAGGTAATCTGCAGATTATGTTGTGAATCTAGCAGAGATTACCCATTAAAATAGATAAAACTACAAATTGGCACTTTCATTTACTTTGAAGTATTGAAAGGGTTATTTTGCATTCTAAAGTTAGCTTACATCCAGATAATTGTGTCATGATGAATCAAAAATTGCATTATGAAAATCAAGTAGCTTAAAAGTATGCGATGCCAGGGTGTACTCAGCACCCTGACACAAGGGGCAGAGCATTGGGAGGAGGCCTGACTGCAGGGTGACACTGCTTACCTTCTTTAGAGTTCTGACTGTAGACTTTTCTTCTTGAAACAGCGCTATTTTTGTTGTTTGAATATCTGAGGAAAGGCTTTAAGTGATGGATTTCCAGAATTCCACAAATTCTGGCAAAGAACTTTTCTTGGGGCTTTTGCAATCTAATGATACTGTTCTAGGAAGTACAAATGGGGCCAGGCTCATCAACCCTGTGGATAATCAGGCATGGGCC